CCATGGTCCTTCAACCAGGTACTGGTAGCTTTGGCACTGTGTGCAGGTGCCAAGTCCTGTTGGAAAATGAAATCTGCATCTCCAAAAAGTTGGTCAGCTGCAGGAAGCATGAAGTGCTCTAAAACTTCCTGGTATGTGGCTGCGTTGACCCTGGACCTCAGAAAACACAATGGACCAACACCAGCAGATGACATGGCACCCCAAACCATCACTGACTGTGGAAACTTTACACTGGACTTCAAGCAACGTGGATGAAGTGCCTCTCTTCTTTTCCTCCAGACTCTGGGACCTTGATTTCCAAAGGAAATGCAAAATTTACTTTCATCAGAGAACATGACTTTGGACCACTCACCAGCAGTCCAGTCCTGTTTCTCTTTAGCCCAGGCAAGACGCTTCTGACGCTGTCTGTGGTTCAAGAGTGGCTTGACACAAGGAATGCGACAGCAGAAACCCATGTCTTTCATACGTCTGTGTGTGGTGGTTCTTGAAGCACTCACTCCAGCTGCAGTCCACTCTTTGTGAATCTCCCCCACATTTATGAATGGGTTTTGTTTCACAATCCTCTCCAGGGTGCGGTTATCTCTCTTGCTTGTACACTTTTTTCGACCACATCTTTTCCTTCCCTTCGCCTCTCTATTAATGTGCTTGGACACTGAGCTCTGTGAACAGCCAGCCTCTTTAGCGATGACCTTTTGTGTCTTGCCCTCCTTGTGCAAGGTGTCGATGGTCGTCTTTTGGACAACTGTCAAGTCAGCAGTCTTCCCCATGATTGTGTAGCCTATAGAACTAGACTGAAAGACCATTTAAAGGCTTTTGCAGGTGGTTTGAGTTAATTAGCTGATTAGAGTGTGGCACCAGGGGCCATCAATTTTGAACCTTTTCACAATATTCTAATTTTCTGATATGATGAATTTGAGATTTTCATTTGTTGTCATTTGTAATCATCAAAATTAAACAAAATAAACATCTGAAATATATGAGTTTGTATGTAATGTATGAATATAATATACAAGTTTCACTTTTTAAATGGAATTACTGAAATCAATCTACTTTTTCATGATATTCTAATTTTATGACCAGCACCTGTATGTCACAGCAGGGATGCAGAAACCTGCTTTATCTGTGAGCTCATGGTGACATCCAAGTCGCTACAGATGGGTCAGAATAAGGCATTTTACACAACCTAGAATCCCATTCAGCTCACTATGATTTTGTACAACTCTTTTTTTCTCTTCAAGCACAACAACTTCTGGGTTTATTTTCTCTTATGCTATGTTCAGACCGCAAGCAGTAGAGGCAGCTAGTTTACATGCAAAGTCAATGGTTGACGTGTATCAAGGCACAGCAAAAGGTCGTTTTGAGCAGCCGAAGCAGCACCTCATGAGCTTCTGAGTATCTGAAGGGCATCAGCATCTGACACGTGTGATACGGTTCAGAAGCAGCAGATGCTAGAGTTGGAAAAATTTCCCTTTTGCTGCTCGATGCGCCACATCAACCAATCAGAGATGCTGATCTGAGACCTGGCAGGGAGACAGACAGCACAGCGGATGCAGACCGCTATGATTACTCCTCTGAAAAATGTTATCAACACCTAAATTAACCTAAAATGTTCAAACCTGCCAGCAAAATATGTTAACTTTTATTATTCTGGTGGCAACAACAGTAGCGGACAACCGCAAAGAGGCGACCGGGCCAGAGGCTGCTGTTGAATGGGATTTCCAGGGACAGAGCCCCGCCAGTGTGGTTGAGCGGCTCCAACAGCGAGTTAATATTTGAAGGCAGGGTCGTAATCTTGATGAAGTGACTGAACAGATGAAGTTTTCAGGTGGAGTTTCTCACTTAAAAGCACATTAAAAGAACTTTTTTATAACAGCAAATTTAGCCGCCATTCTTACAAAGAAAGGATAGTGTAGCTCCGCCCAACGCGCATCAGACCCACTTTTCAACCGCGCAGCTAGAGCAGCAAAAAGATGCTTCAGCCACGCGTCAGAAAGAAACTTGTGCAATCATCATCAAAAATAAGATGCACACACGTTTTTGCTGCTTCTGCTGCATGCGGTCTGAACGTAGCATAATGGTGCTGAATGGAGAGCTCCTGATATCATCTATCTGCACTTTTAAGATCTACCAGCAGGGGGCGACCATTTTGCTTTACCTCAGTATTTAGTAGATGCAATAAATGTGAGTACATATGATGTTTGCCATATAATAATATCTATAGGACATGAAATGTTATTTCAAATGATCAATCTTTTAACAGGTCTTTTAATAGGCAAAGTTAATGATTTACATATTTTTATTTTTCATAAGAGAATTGGCTTTATTGAATACTATTGTGAGTACAAAGGAGGTGGTGCAGGATTAACTGTAGACCAGGTAGACTGCAGCCCTTAGATGTGCTTTGCTATCAGCTAGTAATTACAAGTATGTAATAAATGCATCAATAGACCATTTAAACCTGAAAAACGGTTTGAATTTGAGTCAGGTTGTGCATTATAAAAATAAAAATAGGCCTATTAATGTCTTCTAAAGCTTTCATGTAGGAATTGACACTATTTTTAAAAACAATTATGAATGTTCTCTCTTATTTTAGGCAATTAAGGAATGGAAACGTTTTAAATGTATGTACATTAGTAATAGGTGTAGTTTGAATATAATTTTAGTGTATGCATGTATTTTAAATATGCAAAATTAAATCAATGATTGGTTAGAAACCTGAAAAGAAATGAACGATTATGAATAATTACAAAGTATAAAAATACTCTAATACAATACTCATTTATAACAATAAAAACTCATTAGGCTATCCAGTAAAGTGATTTATTTATAATTTAAAAAAAAGAAAATGAATTCAATAGCTAACACTGATTTGTTTTGCTAATGCACGAATCATATAACAGCTCACGGAAAGTGCAACAAAGTCATTTTGCAATATTTGAAACATTTTTACTATAAAAATGCAATAGTGATAAAACACATGATTAACATTTAATAATGTTTTATTTCTAATAGTATTCTAGTATTGGAAAGAAAGGTTAGGAGTTCCGTAGAAGTTTAAAAACAATCCACTGGACTTGATTTCCAAGGTTTCAAACCTTGGAAACCTTGGAAACCAAGTCCAGTGGATTGTTTTTAATTTTTTACGGAATGACTATGACCTGGATGACTGAGAATCTTCATCAGCATAAAGATTAGGAGTCGCTCAGACTGTGTTGTGAGGTAACTGCCCACAAATTAGCTCTATTTGAAATGCTATGATAATAAAATGTATTGTTGTGAAAAAGAAAACAATGTTCACTGTAAGTCTTCTTTGAGCATTCGCAATATGTAAGATAATCATCATGTTTAGTTTGAAAATGTAGTTTGTTCCACAGATGCCCAATGTCGCAAATTAGATTCATACTTAAAACTATACTGATTATAGCTGTAATGTTAAAATAAATAGCAATCAGTAGATCTAAAGTATGATTGAGAACCAGAACACAGATGAGGGATAAAAGCAGGGATTATGGGGTCAAATAGCCAGTAGCAGTGATCGGAGGTTTAGGGTGTTGATCCCTTTATTACACGGGGCCTGGTAGGTTTGGATATTCTTGACTCTTGATTAATTGAATCATTAGTTAAAAGGTTTTTAATGTGATAAAGAAGAAAAAGAAAATCTGTAAGGAAGTTGCAGAAGTTTGTAAATTAGAAATTTCTATCCAAAGAAAGTATCATTTAACTTTAACTGTTTCAACAATAAAACAAATTTACACTCTTAGCAAGCTCTGAGCTTAACGCTCTTTAAAAAAAAAAATGTCCTAATTACTTTATTTAGCAGCTGGAACTGTTGACGGCGCTTAACGAGCTGCTGGCCAAGCTGTGTGGTGCTGTCTGCAGCTTCTCCCTCTGATCCGACGGCGGCTTCGTTGCTAATTGTTCGCCTGGTGTTGTTTTTCTCAAACCCCACACTCTGAGCGTTTACGGCTGATTCATCCGATCAACAGCTAATCAGGAGTCAGAACAAAGCAGGCTGGTGTAGGAGGGAAACAGAAGGCCTGTTTGTTCAGAGAGCTGTTCACACTTTGCTCTCATTCAACCTCGACATGAGGAGGGTAAAGTTGTTTGGGTCGTTCAGCTACCTGAGAGACTGATGTGTTGCAGGATGTGGCATATGGAAGATGGAGGAAAGGCTACAAGTTAACAGTCTAGATGGTTGAACATTTAAACAGCTGCCTGCTCCAATGGAGCACAGGTGCTTATAATTGGAAGGTGGAGGTTAACATCATGTTTCTGCCAAGATGCTGATAGAATAGCCTCCTCCTCACGGGGTTGACATGGTTACTGGTGTTTGGCTTCATTCATTAGTTCATAAAGACTCTTGTTAACCTTTCACCATTGATGCAAAGGATACAGACAGGTTCATTTCTTTGAAACTGGAAACGTCCACATATTCAGACCATGAAGCCATAAAAACAATGGAGCAATATTTTTATTTGCCAAAATGGTCGTCGAGCGCTCCCCGCTCTGTGCCCCCACAGACGGCTACAGGAAGGTGAGATGCAGGCGGAAGCGGAGGAGTCGAGGAGGCTGGAGAGAGATAGAAAGGCAGAGTGGAAGAGAAATCCCAAGCTTGCTCACTCCCACACCTTTTTCCTCCTGCTGTATTATTGCTGTGGTACTTCATGCTGCAGCAGTCTGACTCCAGCAAGCAGAGAGTTTCTCATCCTTTTTTTTTCTTCATCTTTCCCTCTGGCTTCAAATTCAGCGTGTCTCCCCAGGGAAAACAGCTTCCCACCTGCCAGTCAGAAGCTCCTGTTCTCAGACATGAAGGGGAAGCCTGTTGAGTTGAATTAGTTCCAGCTGATCTTTATTTCTTCTTCTAATCACCTCTCATGCATGTTTCCAGAATGGACTGAACTGGTTCTTTGGATTTCCCTTCAGTTCTCTGCTACCTTCAGTGGATAGAACATCTAAACAGTCTCAGATTTGTCTTCCTCTTATGCTGCTATGTTCGCCAGAATCTTCGTCCCCAAGAAGCACCGGCAACGCTTCGACGAGGCCGTCTCCCAAAACGTGATCAACCGACTCTGTCGCAGCAAGAGCATCAGCGAGCCGCAGGGCAGGATCCGGCGCAGTCGGAGCGAGGACCACTCCGACCGCCGACACGGGTCCAAGCGGGCAAGCTCTGTGCCCAGGGATGGAGGCGAACCAGAGAAGGAGAGGGGCGTAAGAAAATCTGGGTCTGGGGTACCCACACACCCCCCACTCGGTCCCAATCAGAGGTAGGTAGAATCTGGTTCATTATAGAAATGAAATGGTGCTTTTTTTATACAGACTTTGGTCCAGAGTGGCAACAAGTTAGTCTGTGAGGAGAACTCAGAAATCTTTCTTTGGGTTTATTGCTTCTCCTGCCAGCTCCCTCTCATTAAAACAATTGTTTATAAACTATTTATAATCCAGCTTTAGCTGGAAAACTACACAGATAAATCAAATGATTCATTCATTTAACTGGATTTTGCTAAATTTTCCATTTTTATAAATCTGAAATTTTTAAAAATTATCAAAATATGTTAACATTAACCAATCTTAAATATATGTTTAATAATATATTCATATTGAAATGCATATTTTACTCACTATTACAATGCTTGTTTACTTCTAAATGTGCAAAAAAAACCTCAAAAATCCAGATGCATAAAAGATAAAACTAAAACAAAGATCTTTTTTAGATTTTTACAGTAGTAGAGAAAAATGATTTTGTTTATTAGTATTTAGTAGTAGCAGATAAATCAATAACTGTTTACAATATGATACATATTATATCTATATGATGCTTATGCATAAAAAAATCAAAGCTCTATGTGTATTTGGTTAATTCTTCATGCAAGGAATCAACTTTTTAAATGACTTCCCCATTTAACTATTTTTTGATCTAAGCATCAAAGGATGGAGGGAAGCTGCTAAAAGCTGATCCTCATGGAACACTGAACATCTTCTCCTGCCCATCCTCCACCCACTAACACCCTGATTACATGGCTGTCCGATGAATAACGCAGCAACTCCCACACTCGTGGTAATGGTCTCTATTCATGAAAGACTGAACTCTTGTAGCTGCATATGTCACACAGCAGATCGGAGGGAGATGATGGTGTTGGGTTAACACGACTCTCTCCCTTCAGAACCCAGCAGTTAGGAACCATCTAGAAACAGGGTTGCAAAGAGAGAGAGAGAGGTGTGAGAGAAAGAAAGGCAGAAATAATGAGAAACTTTGAGTTAAAAGTCTGATCTGGAATTTAATGATATAGTATATCTAAATATCTCTGTTGATTTTTTCCAGATGATTCTTTTTTCCTAATGAAAAGGTGTGAATGCAGAGAGGAAAAGCTGGTGCGTCTCAGACACGCAGGTCTTCAGGCTCCTCTCTGCTCTCAGCTCGTCTTACATAACAGCCTGGAGCTGCAGTAGCCAGAGAACAGGTTTCCCTCTGTTTATATACGCTCAGGCTATGTTGCCTTAAACTGTTTCCATGGCAACGTGTTGTGAAATTCGGCAACACCATCAGCACCATGAGATATCAAGAATCAGTTTTATCTTGGACCAGAAACTGAACTCTGAGCCTGATCTGTCAACAAACACAGCGTCATTCCTCCACTTGTTCTGACTCCCACTGACAGGAAGTGACAAAAGAAAACAAAGAAGATGCAATAGGAGGCCTGTAAGCAGCAATGAGGCTGCTGGTCCCCCTGTTCAACCACTTCTTAATTAGGGGTGCGCAAAATAATCGTCATGATGATGCATCGTGATTCTAATTTTTGTGATCTACTGCATCGATTCTTGATGCCAAGTATCGATTATTAATTTTAAAAAATTAATAAACAAAATTGCATGAATGGTTGGCGAACATCAGCCAAAAACAAGTGTAATACAACTTCCAGTCCAGTAGATGTTGCTGCGGATGTGTTGACGCACGCTGCCTTGTGTCACAAGCATTTCCGGCCGCGGGATACTGTGCCGAGTCATTCAAAAACAAAACATGGAGGAGAAAATATTGCAATGCTTCGCAATAATTCAAGTATCGTGATGCATCGTGATAGAATCGCATCGTGGCCTGTGAATCGTGATTCGAATTGAATTGTGACTTCTTTGGCAATACCCACCCCTATTCTTAATTATTTATTATGTTTTATTTATCTATAACTATTTGGTTTGGCTAATTGATATGAAGTGTAACCTGCTAATTTCAGTTACCATTTACAGCTAATTGTCATTTTATGCTTTAGAAATTATATACAAGAGACTGTATGTAAGAGAAAAAAATATTAGATTAGATTTAATTAATATTTAATTAATATTAAAACAGCCATGTAGGATTTTTAGGCTTAAGTTTGGTTATAAACTCACCCAATTCTCTTTATTCATTTATCCTGCTTGAAACTCTAAAATGGATTCAACGTGGGATAAAAAATTATCATTAATATTTATCTTCTGACCAATTCTTCCCAGCCTGAACACAAAAAGCTGGCCAAAGTTCATCATACTCTATAAGAAAACATTTTAAAACATTCAGGAACCTCTGATTTAGAGGTCTAAAGGGGACCAAACCAAACTGGCTCTCCAGGTTTGGAGCTGTTTCCACCGTACCGTTAAGGGATCAAATCCTTTAAATGAAAACCTGCAGGAACGAGAAGATATTTTACTTCTGTTATACCGAGAACAGAATGAGGCAGTGTTTTCCCCTCCCCCACCTATTCCTGCACACTGTCAGTTAGCTGGCTGAATAAAGACTGCTGCACTTTTTATTTGTTAAAAAGAAAAGACAAATCTGTTTGTAAAAATCTCTACTCTACAAGCACAGAGTGGAGACTAAGAGTACTAACCTCCACATCACCATGGCAACAACAGGTGTCAAGCAGTCCGCTATAGGCTAGACACAGACCTGACCACTTAACCTTCTAATATCATTTATTTTATGATCAGTGTTACGTTAGGAACAGCTTTAAGCTAATGTAATTAATCAATAATGTCAATATAATCTGGTTTTTATTCTGTATGATGGCTTGAGTCCCTAAAGTTTAGGGCCTAAACTAAGGTCTAAATAAGCCAAATATTAGCTTATATTTAAAGTATTTGAGGATATACACTATATTGCCAAAAGTATTTGCTCACCTGCCTTGACTCACATATGAGCTTAAGTGACATCCCGTTCCTAATCCATAGGGTTCAATATGACGTCGGTCCACCCTTTGCAGCTAGAACAGCTTCAACTCTTCTGGGAAGGCTGTCCACAAGGTTTAGGAGTGTGTTTATGGGAATTTTTGACCATTCTTCCAGAAGCGCATTTGTGAGGTCGCACACTGATGTTGGACGAGAAGGCCTGGCTCTCAGTCTCCGCTCTAATTCATCCCAAAGGTGTTCTATCGGGTTGAGGTCAGGACTCTGTGCAGGCCAGTCAAGTTCATCCACACCAGACTCTGTCATCCATGTCTTTATGGACCTTGCTTTGTGCACTGGTGCACAGTCATGTTGGAAGAGGAAGGGGCCAGCTCCAAACTGTTCCCACAAAGTTGGGAGCATGGAATTGTCCAAAATGTCTTGGTATGCTGAAGCATTCAGAGTTCCTTTCACTGGAACTAAGGGGCCAAGCCCAGCTCCTGAAAAACAACCCCACACCATAATCCCCCCTCCACCAAACTTTACACTTGGCACAATGCAGTCAGACAAGTACCGTTCTCCTGGCAACCGCCAAACCCAGACCCGTCCATCAGATTGCCAGATGGAGAAGCGCGATTCGTCACTCCAGAGAACGCGTCTCCACTGCTCTAGAGTCCAGTGGCGGCGTGCTTTACACCACCGCATCCGACGCTTTGCATTGCACTTGGTGATGTATGGCTTGGATGCAGCTGCTCGACCATGGAAACCCATTCCATGAAGCTCTCTGCGCACTGTTCTTGAGCTAATCTGAAGGCCACATGAAGTTTGGAGGTCTGTAGTGATTGACTCTGCAGAAAGTTGGCGACCTCTTCGCACTATGCGCGTCAGCATCCGCTGACCCCGCTCCGTCAGTTTACGTGGCCTACCACTTCGTGGCTGAGTTGCTGTCGTTCCCAAACACTTCCATTTTCTTATAATACAGCTGACAGTTGACTGTGGAATATTTAGGAGCGAGGAAATTTCACGACTGGATTTGTTGCACAGGTGGCATCCTATCACAGTTCCACGCTGGAATTCACTGAGCTCCTGAGAGCGACCCATTCTTTCACAAATGTTTGTAAAAACAGTCTGCATGCCTAGGTGCTTGAATTTATACACCTGTGGCCATGGAAGTGATTGGAGCACCTGATTCCAATAATTTGGATGGGTGAGCAAATACTTTTGGCAATATAGTGTATATTTTCTGTTTTTTATGAAGTTGTTCAGTTTATTTTCTAGATGTCTGTTTTATTTATTTTTTTACCTAAGGTTCTCATATTGTATTAGCTTCATACCTGCATTATTCATGAGTAGATGGAGATGCTGTAGTCTGCAGTATTTAATATTAAGGTTCATGTGTACCGGAATAATGTGAGCAGCAGTGCTGTTCTGTAGTGGTTATTATAAACTGCTGAATAGAAATGAAACCTTTAACGAAGTAAATTCTCATATCGGAAGGATTTCTCTTCATCTCTGTCTGGATTGTTTTTATAGGGTTATCCGTGTCTACAGAGGGAAAAAGAGCTTCGGCTTCACGCTGCGAGGTCACGCTCCCGTCTGCATCGACTCCGTCATCCCAGGTACTGCTTCTGTTTCAGAACACGCCGCCGTAAGAACCTCACGAGCCGTTCCCTTTTCCACGAGCGGCTTTGACCCAAACGCTCCAGTGTGTGGGCTGAAGAGGGAGGAGGCTGATTCTGTTGTGGTTTTAGGCAGAAAGCATTCAAAGAGGAACAGGGGGGTGTTCCTGTGAGCGTTCCAGGAGGTGAACTAGTCTGAGTCAGCCAGTGAAATGTTCAGGGGAACACACTGGGAACAGGCTGTGCAGCAGCAGCTGTTTCCATCAATGCTGGCTGTTGGTAAATGCCACACAATTGCATTAAGGGATTTTGGAGACATTTTCCCATTTGCAGTTCCTTCTTAATGTATTCACCTTGAACACTTTGAACTTTTCTCATTTAGTCATTTTATGTGATCGACCAAAACAGTGTGAGTCGATAAAGAGTGGAAGGATAATGGCTGCCTGGGTTTCATTTAATCTGAGTAATCAGATTTTAATAATCTTACAGATAAAAATCTGAAAAGTGTGGCCTATATTTGAATTCAGCCCATTTCCCATGTTCCCTTACATAAATGGGAGTCGCTTGGGTCCTGGAGGTTAAAATGGAAGTTAAAATCCCACTCATTACAGCAGACTGCCACTATAGGTCCCTGAGCAAGACCCTTAACCCCACACTGCTCGCCAGGCGCCACACAATGGCAGCCCACTGCTCCCCAAGGGGATGGGTTTATTGTCCCCCATTGTGGGAAAATAAAGGGATTTACATAAATCCACTCTTACCTAACTTCAGAAATTAGTTAAATATTTAGTCCAGGTGTGCGTCCAACAGCAGCTGTTCAAGGTCTGTCCTCAGAGGTTCTTTAGAACAGTGAACCAGGGGTACGTTTACACCTAGTGGTCCGCAAGTGCATTGCAGAGGGTGCATAAATTCTTAGGTTGTAAAATAAAATAGGGCTGGGATCTGTTTTCTTTTATGAGTAGTTTTTCCTGTTCTGCGGAGAACAACCTGTTTTTCACACTGATCTATCGGAGCTCATTAAAGCAGCTCAGATGTTTTGATAAAAACAAAGTAAAACTAATTCAGTCAGTCTGACTATAAATTTTGTCCTGTATTTTGTTCCCAGTTGATCAAGTTCAAATGTTATTATAAGGGACATACTATAGGAGCTCCAGTTTTATAAATACAGGTTTATAATATGATTTTATTCTGTGTTTATTTCAATTCCTTACTTACATCCAGGCAACAAATTTGTGTTCTTGTTTTTTTTATCTGAGATGGAAAAAATAAAATGCCTAAGAATTAAATGATTAAAAGATTAAGTTAAATATGTTTTGTTTTATAATCGGTTATTGTGAGTTCCACTTTTGGGCAATCAAAAGTATCTCAAGCTTTGAACCACGTCCAGAGCTCCTTTCAAATAATCAGAACAGGGAGTGAGGACAGACCACCTGCAGACCTACCAGGACCTGGACGTCTCAGAATGGTCTAGTTAAAGTCCAGAACAAAATCCATCTAAGGCTTGAAAACTGATGTTTCACTAAAACAAACCTGCAAAAGCTGCAGTCCGTGGATATTTGTTTTAATTTCCTCCTTATGATAACAAGCTAGTTTGTGTTAGTTTGTTGCCATGTGTTTGTGATGTTTAAACCCTTCCACTGAACTTTAAAATGACAAAAATTATTCTGTAGTTTCCAGGGTTTAAGCTTTTTAATTTTCATCAATTCAATCAAACCCTGCAGAGGAAAATATGACACAGAGAGCCGAACACATGGAAGCGTCACATTTAATATCATTATGTAAGAGGCTGCCATCCCTAAACTAACCTGCGACTTTAAAAGCTTCTTAATGAACTGATTTCTGAAATGACAGCAGCAGAAATAAAGCTGCTATTGAGAGAATCTGCTGGATGGAGGGAGGGGCTTCTGTATCTCCTGTGTTTGTGTTGGACGATGACGGCACTGAGCTCGCCCACCATCATCACCCACCGATATGTGCCGGAGCGCGCTGACTCAGTGGGCCTTATGGAGGCTGAAATGGAGATGGTGGGGGTGGATGGCGTGTCTCATCATCGTGAGCTGAACATCCTTCCCTTCAGTGATTAAAGACAGAGAAGAATGAAAACTTATGAAGTCTTAAAGCTGAAATTAGAGTCGGTGAAGCTGATGTGAAAACAGATGTCAGTCTGCTGAGATGGTAGAGCTGACAGATGAGGAGGCGATGGCAGCAGCCGCTTCCTTATGTAACGCCGTTTGACATGGAGCTCCAGTTTGATGGCCTTTGTTTGCTCTCAGAGAGACAGAGACTGACAGCATCAGATTAGTCACCTTGTTCGGGTTCTTCCTGCATCCAGGGATTGATGTTTGTCCTCTCTGTTGTCTCCATGTCCCTCTCAGATAGTCCTGCTGAGGAATGTGGACTGAAACCAGGCGACCGCATCCTGTTCCTCAACGGACTGGACATGAGGTTTGTCTTCAGAACTCTGGTAACAATCCAGTGTTCAGACTCGGTTTGGTTTGCAAACTTTGAAGCATATTTAGATTTTTCCAGATCACATGATCTGGAACATAACCACAGAGCCAAGAGACTTAAAACATTTTAGTTTATGCTTGGTATTACAGGAAACTGATTGTAAGGAAAAGAAAAAAAAAAAATCATGTTGCTTTTAATTTAGATTATTTTATATAATGAATGCCTGACATAGAGAGGTTAACAAAGAGTTCAACTCTATTACATAGGTGACATGCACACACAGGGAGCTGAGATAAAGAACTTTAATAAAAAAAATATATATACTTTTTTATTTCAAATAAAATCAACAGGATGCAATCATGGGTGAGGGTTTCTTCTTCTCATAACATTGTGCTGGTTGCACAGATAAGTTATAATTATGCATCTTTGTCCATTTTATACAAGCTGCAGAATCCAATATAGATCTAGAAATGGTAGGGATGCACCGTATATCGACATTAATATAAGAATCGGTCTGATAAGTAAAACTGAGCTGAAATAAATTTTTCTGCAGTTGCTGTTTTTCTTTGAGAGGCGGAGAGGGGAGGGGTCTGGTCATGGGGTGGATGTTTGGTCATGTGACTGATTGTGATGCAGCTTTTGGGTTTTTAACTGCAGCAAAGTCAGCTTTGTACTTCGCCTTTCATGGTGTCAAAAGGGTAGGAATTAAATATCGGTAAATATCGGCCCCAGTTTTTATATCAGTTCAGCTCTAGTTGGTGAATCCAGTGAAAAAAGCCAATAGAACGATCAAATTAGCAGGAAAATATAAAGAGATTTCACTGCTACTAAAAGCTTCTGGTGGGAAAAACTGTTTCTGCTGCCTGGAAGTGCAGCTCAGTTCTCAGTACATGTGAACTTAATTTAAGGAGGTCAGCTGTTTGTTTTTCTATATTCCCACATATCCCTTCTTCCCAGTGGTTTTAATGATCTCTAAGACTTTTAAAAGTCTTCAGATCAGAACCTTTTTATATTTTTATTTGTCTTTGTTCTCCACTCTGCTGTCAGTGTTGGCGGGAGCAGAGGACCAGTAACACCTGTTATGTAATATTGTTATTTACCGCCTTCTGCTATTCCACCTCTCTTGTATGAAACAGGCAGAACCGATTCTGAATCACTTAAACTATGTTTCCTTAATTATATGAACAGTGTTAACTATTTGCTTGGGATAGCACGTTGCAAATTTAGCGTATTATATACAATTTTAATGTTTTTTTTTCTCCCTTATTTCAGAAAGAGTACCTCTTATTTTATAAAGCTTTATTGCACATCTAGTGAAATATTTCAAGCCTTTACTGCTTTTAATTTAAAGTTTGCAGTTTATAGAAAATAGAAACCTGAAAATTAGTTTTTCCGTATATAAGAATATTACTTTAAATACAAAAACTGCTCATTCTACTCATTAGGAAGCTTCCTAGATGGATTTGTTTGCTAATCCTCTCAAGGCTGCAGCTCCATCTGTTGCATCTTTTCCTTCCTTTAAACTTCCTATGATCATGTGCCATAAAGCACTCTGTGAAAAAAAACTCCCTGGAAATTTATAATTCTTCCCAAAGATTTGTGAGCGTTAGACATTTATGCTATAAAACATTTTTTAATTATTTTATTCAATATTCTGAGGAAAATATTATTTTTATTCTCCTTAAGCCATATTTATAAATATTGCAGGAAATACAGGCTATAGATATTTCAACCCATGTGTAATTAATCTGTTAAATAGCTTTAGTTTGATAGGAGAGATAAATATGTTAAACTATTTTATAATATTTTAAGTGATTTCATATCTAAATCTAAAAAAACTTTTTCCATGTTCAAATCTCACTTTTCAAACACTGACAACTTAATTGTGGTTTTGAATCAGGACATCATTTATACCCTTTAGACAAGAAACAGTCCTACAGCTTATAAAGCTGATACATGAGGCGAGTCAGTGAAGAAGAAATGAAGCATAAACAGCAGCGGGACCAAGATGTTCTGGACAAACCGAACCCTGGTCTAACAGAATATGAATCCACAGAATTTATTCTATTGTTTTTAGAACAGAAATCTGATTTCTAGTTCCACAGAAGGTTGTCCTTTAGGATGATTTTTCATCCATTCATTGCAGTAACAGCAGACCGTTGGGCTGTAGAAATATTTTTTTCAAACCAAAGCCTCCAATTTGTCATTATTTCCAGAACGAAAGTTACTACCGTAACTACGGTTCTATGAATCCCGGATGACCGCCAGAGGCGGTGCTTCAAGCACTGAATGATCATTCATGCGCATGCGCAGGTCGAGTATTAATGACAACAAAGTCAGCTGTGACCTGCCGGGGACCCACGTGACTCTATATAGTCACGTGGCACCCGGCAATCAATCCCTCAATCTTCTCGTGAAAGCAGAGATTCCGAGGGACCAAGCACTCTGGCGGTCATCCGGGATTCATAGAACCGTAGTTACGGTAGTAACTTTCGTTCTATTTCATCCCTACTGACCGCCAGAGGCGGTGCTTCAAGCACTGGATGACTCATATCAACAAGGTCACGAGGAATCAGCAACATTCAAGGAACAACGACTACACCACCCACCTAATGTGATGTAGAGGCATGCTGCTCGAGGATTCCCTGAAGCGGATGGGGCGCAGCCACATTCACCCTGTAGAACCGAGTAAAGGTACTAGGTGATTTCCAGGAGGCCGCACGGCATATAACATCCAATGGCACCCCAGTCATAGCAGCAAACGATGTCGACATGCCCCTTGTAGAGTGGCATTTCACTCCCGCCGGCAGTGGCCGGTCCTGCAAGGCATAAGCCTTGGAGATCAAATCCACAACCCAGTGTGCAAGTCGCTGCTTAGAAAGTGCCTGACCCTTCCGTGAGCCAGCGTAGCAAACAAAAAGGCTATTTGTCTTTCGGAAGGATGCCGTGGCATTGATGTATGTCTCAAGGGCACGAACAGGACACAGTGGTTCAGAGGGACTTCCGGAGTCAAACCGGGCAAGATGGAGAGGCTGGGTGCTGCCTGCTGGCAGTGATACCTTAGGAATAAACGCTACGTCAGCCCACAGTGTAACGCCTGAGCCATCAGGATTCCACCGGCAGCAGGGTTCGGCTATCGAGAGAGCCTGTAACTCCCCTACACGTTTTGCGGAAACCATAGCTAAAAGGAACGCAGTCTTCAGTGAGAGCCATTTGAGGTCCGCCGACGCCAGGGGCTCAAATGGGAGGGACCGAAGAGCCTCAAGCACAAGAGAAAGGTCCCACGCCGGTGCCACAGGGCGGTTGGGTGGGTGCAAACGCCGAGCACCTCTTAAAAACAGTACAACATCCTTGTCTCGGCCAACAACCATTCAGCCCAACATGCCAACAGGAAATGGCAGCCACATACACCTTTAAGGTAGATGGAGACCGTCCTTGGTCCAGCAATGCCTGCAGGAAGGTCAGTATGTCAGAAACTGAACACTGAACCGGGTCCTGCCCTCTATCACGGCACCAGGTGGCAAAGACCGTCCACTTGTTAGCATAGACAGCTCGCGTGGACGGCGCCCATGCATTAGCCATTGTATGCCCTATGGACCCAGTGTATCTCGAGAAGGTGGACCCCGGCCTTGCAGGGGCCAAATCCAGAGCTGAAGCCGGTCCGGTTCGGGGTGCAAGATCTGACCCCCCATCTGGGAAAGAAGATCTCTCCTGGAGGGGAGACGCATTGGCGAGCCGGAAATGAGCTCGCACAGTAGAGGAAACCAAGTCCTCGCTGGCCAGTAGGGGGCCACCAGCAGGACCCTGTGCCCCTCCTGACGTACCCTGAGGAGAGTCTGAAAAAGTAGGCTGAATGGCGGAAAGGCATAAAGGAGGGTCCGGGGCCAGTCGTGTGCCAGAGCATCGTGGCCCAGAGGGCTGCTGTTGTCCAACGAGAACCAAAGGGGACAATGAAATGCGTCCCTTGAGGCAAAGAGGTCCACGTCCGCCCTGCCAAAGACCTTCCAGATGCACTCCACCACCTCTTGGTGAAGCTTCCACTCCCCTGGAAGCAGCTTCTGACGGGATAGAAAATCTGCTGGCACGTTCTCCGGCCCTGGGATGTAGGCTGCTCTGAGGCTGGCTATGCGTGGAGCTGCCCAGGTCAGAAGCCGTCGAGTCAAGCACAACAGTTTCCTTGACCTCGTTCCCCCCTGGTGGTTGATGTGAAAGACCACTGTGGTGTTGTCTGACCTCACCAGCACGTGCTTCCCCCGCAAGCCCGGAAGAAAGCTCTGAAGAGCCAGAAGTACAGCCTGTAACTCCAGGACATTGATGTGTTCCCTGCCCTGCCGCTGGGACCATGTCCCCTGTGCCATTTGACCCCGCCAGGTTGCACCCCAGCCCGTGGAGGATGCATCTGTAAACACAACTTCCCGACGACACGGGAGGGAACCGAGCGGGACCCCTGTGGTCATAAACAACCTCACCCTCCATTGGGACAGAGACTGAAGACACTGAGGCCCCACCCGAAGTCTTCGGAGACGATGAGTGTTCCGTGTGGGATCCAGATTCAAGCTGTTCAACCACATCTGGAGGGGCCGCAATGACAGCAGCCCTAAGGGCACTACGGCGGACGCAGCTGTAAGCATGCCCAAGAGTCGAAGATACCGCACAAGAGGCAGTGCCATGCCGCGCCTGAATTCCGGGAGCACGCTCAATATACCGTCCACCCGCTGGGGTGACGGGCAAGCAGTCATTGAGATGGAATCCATGGCAATGCCCAGGAAGACAGTCTCCTGTGAGGGAGTCAGACTGTTTTTCTCCATGTTCACCTGCAAGCCCAAGCATCCCACATGATGGAGCACTAACCGAGTATCTCGAACCGCCTGGTCCCACGTCGCAGCACAAATGAGCCAGTCGTCCAGATATGGGAGGATCCTCAATCCCTGTGCCTGCAGAGGAGAGAGAGCCGCTGCAACACATCGGGTGAACACCCTGGGGGACAGTGAAAGTCCGAACGGGAGGACCCTGAACTGGAAATGTCTCCCTTGAAAAGCAAAACGAAGAAACCGCCAATGGGGCGGAGCGATCGGAACGTGAAAATAAGCATCCCTGAGATCTATGGAAGTGAACCAATCGCCCGGGGAAATCGCCTGCAACACTTCCCTGGTGGTCAGCATATGAAAGGGCATGGCCTTCAAGTACACATTCAGGCCCCTGAGGTCCAAGACTGGACGCAGGCCCCCGGTCTTCTTCGGAACCAGAAAATACGTGGAATAAAAGCCCCCTGGATCCAGCAGGGGGTCCACAGGCACTATAGCACCCTTGGCCAGCAAGGTTCAGATTTCTTGGTTCAGTGCCTGTGCCTTCACTGGGTCGTGGATCACAGTCATCCTGACCCGGCCAGGGATAGGTGGCCGGCGGCGGAATTGAAGACGGTACCCCCGGGACAGGGTGGACAACACCCACAAGTCCGGGGTGTGGGCAGCCCAGAAGCTGAGCTGTTCCGGGGAAAAATAACCGACCGCCGGCCCTAAGGCATCATCTGCGGGTCCCCCGGCCCTTCGAAGGCCCGGGAGGGCGCCGGCCAGACTGCGCGGCCCGAAAGGGATGAAAGGACCTTGTTCCAGCCTGGTCTCGAGCTCTGTTCCTCCGATCTAGAGCAGGTCTCTGGACCAATCTCTGACCTGGTAACAGACCCTGGGGCTCAGTGGGAGAAGGAGAAGGCACTAAGGACCTCCGTGAAGGACCCGCAGCTGCCCAGGTGCTTACTGGCTGGCGATCACGTCTGTGAAGCCCTGCCAGCTGTTGCCTCGTTCTAGAGGCCTGAGCCGTACGGTCCAAGGCGTCCAGTGCCGCAGAACCAAAAAGCTCCCCCGGGACCACAGGCAGGGCCCGGAGGGTCCTCCTACAAGGCTCAGTTAGTGGTGACTGCGCCAACCAGACCTGGCGGCGAGCATGAACCAGTGTGGAGAGTGTGCGTCCAAGTTCCCTCGTCATAAGAGCAAAGGCCTGCAGAGATGCATCAACCAGGCCTTGCGTGGCATGATCCAGCGGAACAGATTCCAAGGAGGAAGACAGGGCCAGCATAAGATGGGAGAGAGAGTTCCCAATCCGGCCCATGCGGGCCCCAGAGTCATAGGCCTTGCAGAGAAGGTCGTCGGTAATACGGCACTGAGGACGCGGACAACGGGCATTGGGCCGCAAGGCCTCATCAGGCGGGATTATAAGAGAGGCAATGCCCGGTTCCACCGCTGGCATCTGCCCCAAGCCAACCTTGGGTGCCTCCTGCATAGCTGCCAGGACCCTGCCATCCGTCGTCAGACGTGAAAACGCCTTGGTATCTGACCAGCAAGCATGCAGTTCCCGCACATACTCCGCCGAGGGAGGAACCACAAAGGCAGTCTCTGACCTACTGCGCCTAAAGAAGGCGCTGGAGGCCGCAGGCTGGGCCTGAGGAACACTAATTTGTAAACGGGCAAGAGCCGTTCGAATAGCGGATGTCACAGACTCCCCCGTATCCTCCTGAGAGGCAATGGAGTCCGACCCAGAGGCCCCGGAGCCCAGCTCCGGAAGGTCCTCACAGAAATGGGTGCCAGAGGCCGCCACGGAAACAGCATCGTCGTCATTGACTGACGTTTCATCCTGCTCGGTAGGGAGAGCCGTGCCACGATCACCAGCAGTCTGAAAGGACTGGAGGAGGGCTTTCATTTGGGCCAGCTCAGCAGTGAGATGATCCACTTTCGTGGACAACCTCCCTGCATCGGTCCGTCTAGCACGCTTTGTCGGTACCGAAGGTGCAGCCCCAGTAGAACGTTTGCACACCGCTTTCTCCATCGGCAAACGAGCACGCGGCGAAGCGCCCGCCCAGTCGGTAGGCTGCTCCAGTGCAGCCAACCGATCCAGTCTGACCGACCGGGGCATGACGCGACAGTTGGGGCAAGCGTCATCTGACAGCGCCTCCCGGAGATGTTCCACACCGAGGCAGGAGGGACACAAGTCATGCCCGTCATCGGGCTGAAGTGGAGCCAGACAGGTCGAGCAACATAAACTATCCAGCATCATACTGCTGAAAGGCGTGATCAGCCCGCTACCAAGGACAAGTCAACATGAGCAGGAAACGCTACTGGCGACTCGATTATTGACTAAGGATGAACTCAGCACGAGCAGAGACGCCACTGGTGAGTTTAGGCAAACAAACCAAAAAAGAACCCAACGCGAGCGGAAACGCTACTGGTGGGCTCAGGCAAATAAACTGAAAACAACTCAGCGCGAGCAGAAACACCACTGGTGAGTGTAGATAAACAAACTATAGAAGAACCCAACGCGAGCAGAAACGCTACTGGTGGGCTTAAACAAACTGAAAACAACTCAGCGCGAGCAGAAACGCCACTGGTGAGTGTAGATAAACAAACTATAGAAGAACCCAACGCGAGCAGAAACGCTACTGGTGGGCTTAGGCAAACAAACTGAAAACAACTCAGCGCGAGCAGAAACGCCACTGGTGAGTGTAGATAAACAAACTATAGAAGAACCCAACGCGAGCAGAAACGCTACCGGTGGGCTTAGGCAAACAAACTGAAAACAACTCAGCGCGAGCAGAAACGCTACCGTGAGTCAAAAGAGCCACAAAATTAACGTGGCAAATCAAAGCGAACAGTAAACCACTGCTGAGAAAAGAACGAAAACTTACCAGTCACCGCAGATCTGGTAAGGTGAAAGCAGCTTGTGCAGCCCCTGGAGGGCGAGACTTACCCGCAGCTCCGACCAAACCCGGTCACGGGGCTACCAGCAACAAGCAGCCAGGAAACTAGTGGTATACACAGAAGCAAGCAGCTTCACACGACCACACTCCTGTACTCAACACACCTGCGCGCGAGAAGAACAAAAGGGATTGATTGCCGGGTGCCACGTGACTATATAGAGTCACGTGGGTCCCCGGCAGGTCACAGCTGACTTTGTTGTCATTAATACTCGACCTGCGCATGCGCATGAATGATCATTCAGTGCTTGAAGCACCGCCTCTGGCGGTCAGTAGGGATGAAATAGAACCAAAGGTCCATTTAATCTTTTATAGGGAGAGCTCGCATAAAAACAGTGATTAGTGTGGAGCTGTAATCAAAGGTAGTGAAGGAATCGTGTTCAAGGAGAGATGCATGTGATCCTAGTCTTTACATAAACCGTCCTCACCTGTGGGAGGCCTTGTGGTGCTTCACAAGTTCTTAAAGTTCAGCTGAAAGTTCAAACAGGAGTGTGGGTAGAAAGAGAGGAGATCAAATATGAAAAAAACAAACACTGCAAACCGTATGGACTTAAATGTGGCTGCTTTATCTGGATATATAGCACCATTCCCAGAATCATTACTCACTCTGCCACCCTGATAGCCATGTGAGCTGGGATCTGCAGAGCTGTTCCCATGGCTGCCTCGTTCAGCTGATGCTGTATAATTTGTCTGCTCTCCTTGATAGCAGGCGCTGCTGTAGCAGGTGATCAGGCCAACAGTGCAACACTTTCAAAGCGAAAATTTGGTGCATAAGAGCAGCTAAGATGTGTTTATTTGTTGCTTTTTTCAGCTCTTTGATTGGTTGGACTAAAATAACAGTTATTTATCCAAGAAATGAGTTGAATATGATGTTTATTTCCTGTTTTCACTTCGTATTTGCTATAGAAATTGTTCCCATGAGAAGGTGGTGTCGATGCTGCAGGGCAGCGGAGCAATGCCCTCTCTGGTGGTGGAGGAGGGTCCGTCGGACTTTTCTTCAGACCAAACCGACCCAGAGGATTCCCAGAGTCTGGCTCCAACAATGGTTCCTCGCTCCAGGTGAAGCCAGAGCTGTTTTTTGAATCTCTGCGTTCATAAAAGCAGGAAGCCTGATGTGTTCGTCCTTCTCCGCCCAGCAGGTCTCCGGCCCTCAGCTCCCTGCGGTGGGTGGCTGAGATCCTTCCACCGAGCATTAAGGTTCATGGGCGGACCTTCAGCCAGCAGCTGGAGCATCTGCTCACCATCCAGGAGAGATACACCGTCTGCAAGGCCTTAGAGACCTTCTTCCAGCACAGGTCAGCAGAAGATGATCAAAAATAATTGAACTTTATTGATCTCACATTGGAGAAATTTACCTCTGCATTTAACCCACCCCCTTGGGAAGCAGTAGGCTGCCAACGTGGGGCACCCATCAAGCAATCAGGGGTTAAGGGTCTTGCTCAGAGAGGCATAAAGGCAGTCTGTGGGAGTGGTTGTCGAAGTCACAACCTCAGGAATCCACACCCTATGCCCTAACCACTAGGCTGCCACTCCCCAAAGAACGAAGGAACAGCTTTAACCCAACGTCTCTGGTTTATTCATTTAGTAGCTCCGCAGATCAGCAGAGGCCTTGTGTTCAACCGTCAGCTAGCAGGGAACAGGAAGTGATCACTTGGAGAGCCCGAGTGTGACTGTGTGGTGTTTTCACAGGAACGTGGACACCCTGATCGTCGACATCTTTCCAGTGTTGGATACTCCAGCCAAACAGCTGATCTGGCAGTTCATCTACCAGCTCCTGACCTACGATGAACAGGAGCGCTGCCAGAGCAAACTGTCCCGTTTCCTTGGCTTCAAGAGCAGTGGTGAGCCAGAACCCACAGCCCGGGGGGGAGAAAACACGCAGGGATGCAGCTTCAGCTTCTTCACATTATGAACACACCCTCA